CCAATTTGATTTATAGTTTTAGGTTTTGATACGAGATGTTAGCCCCCGGGTGGAGGGAGAAGAGGGAACTCTAGAGTGAGAGCAAGTATCTTTCATGCCTAGCCGGTCATCAAAACTATTCAAACAATAGATTAACCAATATTCTTTATAGCATCTCTAGTAAGGGCAAAGAATATTATTGTTTCTATTTGACACAACATATTTAGTATACTTCCACAACTAAATTTCTATGTTTATCACTGATTCATGATAAAGAAAAAGATATTTTACTTATATTGCCTACATCTTGAAAGTATTTTAGTTAAGTTAATTAGTTGCTTACTTCATTTTCAAATTAAACAAAAATTACAAAAAGAATTGAACTAATTGCTAAGTATTTTGTCATCTAAAACTATTCCTTCATGTGGGTTTGATATTCGAGACTTAATCAGAAAAGTTATATATTTCTTGATAACGATACACATACTTGTGTAGTATCCCATATTGAAATATTATAACTGCATTTTTATTTGCTTCATAGTGAAAATTTTACCTAACATTTGCTTTGGATCAAGTTTTTGGCAACCGTTGCAAACTAATAATATCTATTAAAGAAATTAATCACATAGATCTCATTTTACTTCTATCTATAGAGAAAATCAGGATCAAAGCCCTAATTAATAAAATTGACAGAATTAAACGTTTAAATATTTCTCCTCTAAATTTAAGCCAAACAGTAGGATATCTTGGGAAGTCACCGAGGTTCTCCTCAGGATTCATGACATCCCCTAGTTCTTCTTCCTTCAGATTCCAAAAATAAAATGTTCCAAATTTAAGTCATTCTCATTTCACACCTATTTGTCCGATCTCCTTGAAAAACCATATACTTTGAAATTCTTGAAGACAATATCCTCTTATTTTTGTTGAGAGTTTTCTTAGGTGACTTCAGTTATCTAAGATGTAATTAACTATAAGGGTTTGCCTTTATAGAAAACTTCAAAGAACCCAACTTAATGTAAACCCTATTAAATTTTTCGTATTAAATAGAAGAACTTGTCAGTCAATATAAAAAAAATGGTTTTACAGACCAAACGGATGTCATACATTTCTTAGTTTATTTGATCGAGTCTCACTATCAAGCCATGTGTTTATCTTTTGAGATTGATACATAGAGTGAGGTTTAATGCTCTTTCATGTAAACTATGAAAGATATGAGATCGGCTTGATTTCATATTTTTCTAAATT